CTTGCTCTCTGTCTTCCCCTGCTTCTCGACCGTTGTGAGCTTGTTCTCTATCTGTCTGTGCCCCTTCACCTTCATCCCGACCAGCCTCAGGTACAGTTTCTATGTCACGTTCCTCATCAATGATGTTCTTAACTTCCTCCTGGTCGTTGCGGTCGGAGAGCTCCAAAATTCTGTTGAGCTGATCTTCCTCTTTCTACTCACGTCAAAGTCAAAGCACGCACACACATACACACACATACACAAAGACAAATACACATACAAAAAAAATTCAAATAGGTAGCTTGAAAGGGAGGGGGGGGGGATTTGGGTTGTTGGGTTTTGTTTGGGTTTTTTTTTTGGGAGTGGAGAGAAACACATCTTTAAAATGTGGGTGCTTTAGAGGAGGTGTGCTTCGATCCCGCCCACCGGTGCCAGCCATGGATGTTTGTTTTAGTAAGTGTTTTACAGCACTTGCAACACAATAAGGTCATATAAGTGCCGAAGATTAGAGTTGTTACAAGAAAGTAACAAACACAAAAAAGGAGGGCAGATCAGAATGATAGATGCTTGATAGGAAAGAAAGAGCAAACCACACCAGAGCACCCCCGCCAACTACACACAACCAAGGTTGAGAGGGATGCAACGGCCCAAGAGAAAGACCGAGGTACTCAATAAAAGTTTTTCTGATACGGGAATTGAACAAATGTTTTCTGCATGCGACCCCTAAGCGTCTAACGAGTACGCCACAGACGCTGGACCGAAACAGATTGTCACACTAAAGGAAACTGTAGTCGCAACAGACGTTAATTATTAGATTCAAATGCAATGTTATTTTTACGTCCATTTCGACTCATATACATCATCTAGGAAGTAGGCTGAAAGTGTACAGCTTCCCTGCTAAAAAAAACCCCAAACAAAATACGCGATAAAAATTCTTTCAACTTGGGAATCAAACTCGGGTCTTCTGCGTGCTACGACAAAGCGACTAACCGCTACACCACAGACGCTGGTACATCTGTTAGTGCAAGGAAAGAGCAAGAGAGATTGACGGAATCAACAGAGCGGTAGAAAAGAAGTACGTCTAGGTGACTATTGGCGTCCCCCGCCCCCCCAAACCCCGACAAGCAGTGTTACTGATAATAATATGTTTAAACATTAAGACCACAGTGTCGAAACGATCAAGGCCACAGTTTCAGGACCAGAGAAAGTATCACAAATTAAAGTTTAAAAAAACCCTGGACTTTAGCCGTTTGTTTGCTGGTTGTTTTTTTTAGTTGAACAGGGTCTGTAAGCTCAGGAGTGAGCCGATAGTTTAGTTTGACAAACTTTGAGAGTGAACTTTGGAACCTGGTGAGCATTGCATATTCACTCTTTAAGGTCGCAGCAGGCACACAACATATTATTATTATTATTATTATTATTATTATTA